GAGTTTAGGGTTTATTTTCTTCATGTTGGTAATGGTTGAGACGACACGACCAATATCATCATGAGTTTGGGGTATTTTTCTTCAAGTTGATAATGGTTGAGACAAAACGACCAATATCATCACGAGTTTGGGGTATTTTTCATGTTGATAATGGTTGAGATGACACGACCAATATCATCATGAGTTTGGGGTATTTTCTTCATGTTGATGGTTATGGTTGAGACGACACGACCAACATCATCATGATTTTGGGGTTCATTTATTCATGTTGATGGTTATGGTTGAGACAACCCGACCAACATCATCGTGAATTTGGGGTTTATTTTCTTCATGTTGATGGTTATGGTTGAGACGACACGACCGACATCATCATGATTTTGGGGTTCATTTTCTTCGTATTAATGGTTATGGTTGAGACAACACGACCAACATCATCGTGAATTTGGGGTTTATTTTCTTCCTCTTGATAGTCATGGTTGATGATGACACAACCGACACCATCAGGGAATTTTGGGTTCCATCGCTTCAAATCTAACATATTTCATTTGGTTATCGGATCTTGGTTGAGGGCTAACACAACCAACATCGTCATTCCAAGTTCCAAATATCTGGTTTTAAGATTTTTCAATTATCTATCCCTAGGTTGTAATAGATATGAGAATCTTCAAGGTTATATTATTCATCCCTTAGGTTGCGATGAATATACAAAATCAAATCAGATCAAAACTTGCTATATTAGTCTCCAGGCATTAGTAAGACAACTTTTCAAACTTATTTCATTTACCTCCTAGGTTACAGTAAATAAGCAAAATCTTACCAGATACTGGCGAGTTATCCGTGTTTTCGAGTCTTAATTCTAATCAAATTTAATCCAAACGCTGGTAGGATGATACGTCATCATCCATGCCCATTCTTCATACTCATAGGAACGATGTACAACGTATTCTTATACTAGCTCAGACAAATCTTAGGGTTTTCCAATATTTAATAAACTTCCGATTAAACGTACGAGACCTAGGTATTCTCACACTGTTCAATCGAAAGATAATTAAATAAGGGCAACTGTCATACCCCAAATTTGCCATACCTTAATATTATATTTAAGGTTCTATTCAATAAAATTGCATTATATGGTTTTATTTTTTATGGGAGGGTGTAAAACATGGGAGAGAGGTGTGATTGACCCAAAATGGACCATCAATATCTGACAGCCCATTAGATTTCTAGAGGACCATTTCAAATTAATAAGAGGTGTATTTGTTTTTGAAGAAGGTGTAGACAAGTCACTTTTTTAACAAGGCCCATTAAAATTTCATTCCTTTTTATTAGGGTGTATAAAACATTTCTATTTGTTAAAGAAAAAAAACTAACATCTGACCCATTTCTGTTTTTGAGAAACTATTTTTGTTTTATTGATTATTGATTTTAAATTGTTAAGGTATTTGTTATCTTTGAACTGGAAAAGCCCAGAAAAGCTTGGTCCATTTCGTTTTTTGGATTTGTTTTTTAAAAAAATATGCATATATATTTTTGTTATAACATTATCATTATTGTTATTATTATCCTTGCTATTATAATAATTACTACTATTTTTTACAATGACTATTATTAACTTTACTAAATCTAATTGAAATATGTTATTAAAATAACTTAAATAAAAACTTGGTTTACTGATTGAGAATTACTAACATACAAAATAAAAGATTTCACTTAGCCAAATTCTTACAACGCAGGCCCAACCCAAACTAAATGCATATATTCTAATATAATAATAATAATATTTGTTTTCAAAAAAAAGAAACATCTTTTTAGGAAGGCATACAGGCCCGAACGATGTTGGCAAAATAAAAACAAAGCGTGTGGCCCAAACCCTTTAACACTTACTATTTAGATTCAACAAAAGTACATGCTTCACTATCATCTCAAGCAGTCAACGTGCACATTCAAGAAGCTATTGAATGTTCAAAGGAATTTAAACGAGAACAAGACAAAATCGAACCGGAAACAGAAATAACATTATCACAGAACAAAAATCAATTACAGAATCGTACATCAACAATGTTCTTAAAAATTACCAGACAAAAATTCAAAAAACTTCCTAATCTAAATCCCTAATCAATTCTATTATAGACATACTTATCATCTTCCTAAAATGTCAAGACAAAATATTAATTTAATTTCCTAAATCTAAAAAACTAAAAACACAATAAAATCCAAGAGAAAAACAGTAATAAGGGAGGGATATTTTTCTGAAAAAGAACATTACAGAGAGAATTGAAGAAGGGAGACTGCGCAGTTGAAATTCTCAAAGCTTCATCTTCATATAAACTTAGGGTTTCAACATCTGAAACCCTAAGTTCTTGATCCGCCACCGTGACTAGCAACCACACCTGAAACAAAGAGGAAAGGGATTAAACTCGTTGAATTTCCAGAACAGTTTAAAGATTCACGACGAATAAAGGTTAGTAGCATCCTAGATTGCGTTTATGCCGCGATTTATCGCGATTTTGACTTGAGGGGGGTTCGAATTTTCATTGGGTTTCTGGGGTTGGGCGTCGCTGCCGCCCAGAATGAGCTAGGGTTTGTGGGTTGAAGAAGAAGGAGAGAAGATAGAGTGTGGGTAGGTCTGATAGAGAGAGGGAATTAAAAAGAAAAATGAAATAATAAATTGATTTTGTCTTGTAAATATAATCATTGGGCCTGGCCCAACAGCTATTCACACTCTTCCTTTTGTTTATTTTACTAACTACGTTGAATTTAACACCCCTTGGCATTTGGGCCTGAATTCAATATCTGAATTTAGGTCATGTCTATTAGCACCCTTACCTTTTACTAGCCTAGTATATTTATCACCCCCATGTGTTTTAATATTTTTCATTTTTCATTTTTTTCATTTTTTTCTTTTTTATATTTTTTATTTTTATTTTAATTTTAATTACAATAATTACTATATTTTTTATTATATATTCAAACATATTTAATATTATATTCACTTATTATTACTAATTATCACACAAATTGTATTATTTTCTAAATTCATATAAACTTTACTTTTTTTATTGCATTAAAACTTATTTTTATTCATGCATTTAAATAAAAGTCTTTTTTTCAAAATAATTAAAATATTAAAAAATATGAAACCAACTACAAAATCATTTTTAAAATGAAATCAATTCAACAATAAATTTTCAAAAAGGAATTGCGAGCTTATTCAAATTGACTGTATGTTTAGTATAGCGATTTCGAGCGTACTCTCTTTATTTCCTACTTCTCATGATATCTAGAAAGAAGTAAAGAAATACGATAAAGTGCAGGAAAATGTAAAAGCAGTAGCGACGACTACCAAAAGCAAACAAATCGTCAAAAGCGGACGAAAGCAATGGAGAAGCAAGGAGTACGCGTCGAACACGCTTCACCAAGAAATAAACAAAGTCAAAAACAATATCCAACTAAGATAAAAACACGTGCGTGTTGCGAATGCAACGTGTAATCAGAAGTTTTTGTGCAAAGTATCACAAAATATCACATACATCCGGACAACATATAATATGATATGAATTTCTCGGGACGATGAGAAATAAGGCGTGTCGCATCAGAAGTGAGCATAAGTCATATGCTTTGATCACATAATAATCTGTTATCTTACATGATCGAAAGCACCAAAACGTACCTTGCACAATGAACAAACACGTAAAAAATAACGAGGCACAACGGTATAAAAATATGAATAAAAAACCTAAAAGAAAATATATTTTTTATTAGTTTTTCATGTGAGGAAAATTCTAAAAAACTAAATAATTAATTTCTAAAATCAACTAAAGAGATCTAACAAATTTTATTGATTTTATAATTTTGTCATAGGAAAATTAACAAAGAAAAAAATTCCTAAATCTAACAAAGATTAGTGAGCTCAGGGGAGTGCTAAGTTGGATCAGAGTTGATTTTATTTGAGCTCAAGGGGGTCTTTGAAAAGTAAAAGTTTATATCTGAATACAATCTAAGATTCTTTTTATTTGAATCATAGTTATCCAAAAAATCTAGGGAGATTTGTAATCATATTTAAGGAGGTTTATAACCCCCACAATCTCACATGTTTTTTTATAGTCAAACAAGATGTTGATTTTATATGACGTAACCAACTTTCGTTAAAAAAAAAGTAAAAGACAAAGACAAAAAATCTAAATAATAAATATTAAAAGAAATATTCAATATTTAGAAGTACTTAGAAGCCCTAAAGACATATTTAACCCTAAGATAAATTTGGCGACAACCAAATTCAAAAGAAACTTGATCCTTTTAAATTTAAAAAAATAATAATAATAGTGAGTCTGTGTTTTAAATAACTTAGCAACAACATGCAAGAACCACTTCTTGAATTAATAACATTAGTCTTTTTTTAATACAAAAAGATTATTAGTCATAATCAATAAGGAAGGGTTGTAGGGGAACACAACATTAACATATTTTTATATAAACAAAGGTGACTTGTGTCTAAACAGATGTCTTAGTTTCTTTGATAATTCCATTTCTTAATCAACCAATGAAGCTTCTATCTATTTTCCATGACAGAAAAACAACATAACCAATGGGTCCCTTTGTTTGCTGTTCACTCTTTTTGCCAGTTCATAATTTAGCCGTTGAATTATTCTTCAAAACGAGTATATGCTTTAGCTGCTGTACTTGAATTCAACACATCAACCACTACTACATTTTAACAACACTTTGTAACGTTACCATTAATTTAATTTCCTAAACCCCCATTCATTTTTTTAATGTTTAATTTACATTTTTAATACAGATGGAAATGGAATGCATGTAGGAGCGTTGTTGGGTCAAATTTGAACACCATACCATTTTCCTCAACTACTATATAATCCCTACTCTTCATCTTTAAAATTCTCACATTTAGTTTATTTTCTTCTACGAGGTTTCGTTAAGTAACATTAACCTCGTAGAGAAAAAAAAACCAATAAATACTTTAATCTTTTATTCTTAAAAAAATGAAGACACATTCATTTGTTGTAGCGAAAAGAATGTGGAATGTATTGAGAATCACATTTTTGATGATGCGGAAAGGTTTTATGTCAAAGAGGAAGATGATTATAGATATGAATTTGATGATGAAGAAAGGGAAAGTGCTAAGAAAATCATTGAGCAATTTAATGTCATCTACACAAAATCGTCACCGGAATAAAATTGGTGGCGGATTTATGGTACATGATTATGAATTTTCTTGTAGTAATAGTCCAAATCCGGGTTATTTCAATCTGTCAAAACGTAAGCATCATTTCAATTTTCCTTGTATTAATGCTCCTGAGGTTATTGAAGATGAAACTTTACCTTGTTATCAATTGTCACCACTTGAAATTGAAAATGTGTGTAAGAGTAGTGTGGCTATGGTGCCTAAGACTCCTGAATATACATTCAATTTTAGGTTTGATCCATCTGAAGAGAGAAAAAGCCCACGTTTTTCTGTGAGGGTTTCTAATTACTCTGCATTGGAGGAAAACGAAGAGATTGGAAATTGTCAAGTTGATGATGAAGCTGAGGATTTCATTAGAAAGTTCTATGAGCAGCTAAGGACGCAAAGCCGTGTCCAATTGCCGGGGTTTTAAAAAAGAGTCAGTGGCCGCGATTCAGACGGCTATTTAAAGAACCGTCCGCGGCCACGATTTTGATGGTGACATCAAGGATTACGACGTTAGATGTATCGAATTTCGTCGGAAAATCTGCAGTATTGATCAATGTGATCACACATTGTTATTATGATCGCAATTTAAAAGCTAGTGATGTTTGAAATTTCTATGATAGCAAGAGATGTAAAGACAAGTTGAATAAAGTTATATAAAAATCTTGTTTGTATTATGAGAATGCTCATCATTGATCAACTAGTTCTTGAAGAGGGTCTCTAAGAGAATGTTTTATAAGAATTTTCTTTTATCTTGTGCATAGTTTTTTTATGTAAGTTTTTTTTGTGCATAATCATAATTTTGTATTATTGAATTTTTTTTTTCTGTCAGGTAATCGTATTGGAATAAACCATTAAAAAGTATTAATATATAATAAGTAATTTTTAAAGTATATGAAGTTTGCCAAAATAAAAATTTACTTATTTTTTGTGGGTATGTATTTACCGTGAAATTTGATATATAAAGGTTAGTTTTTTTTTTAATAAAATCATTTACAAGATCGATTAGATTGATTTTATAATATGTTGTGCCAAATTTTTTTCAAGTTTTTATGTAATTTTTTAAGTAAAAGATGAAGACTTCGACTTAGACGAAATTCTTAAAGTAAAAGGAAATATTAAAGACAAGTGTAGAAAATGTAAAGATTTTTTTGACAAAAAGTAAATGTTATAGATAAATGTAATGTAAAGGACTTGCGATTGATAAAAGGTGGAATTTGAATACATACGTTGCATTTGGTTACTCTTTTCTCACTTCGCTCAGATACTTTGAGTATTTTGAATTTTGTGTAGTAATGTCAACACACGGAAAATCTAATACTAGAACTCATATTTATATTAAAATTGAAATAACTGTAACGAATAATCTTTTTCTAATGGAATGACATGTTCTCGCCTGCATGCACTTCACCTTCAACTTGCTTCCATACGTCCTTCAGAAATAGATAAGGCCAAATAGTAGTTGCTTAGCCTCGTTTTATGTTTTAACTCCTTTAGTCGAAATAATAATCAAATCATATCAAAAATGACTAAGTCCCAGCATCGTTGTACACTTAAGAAATGTATTATCAATTTTAACCAATGTCTGTGAAAATCCTTCCCAACTATATTGTCAAAAATTTCATAGACTTAGAGATTTCTTTAAGTATTTCTTCAATCCTTTCTTGATACCTCAAGCTCTAGGATGCATCAAAATTTCAACAAATAAATTACCTCCCAAAAATGTCTTTTTTGACCAATAGAAGAAAAAGGACATTTTTTGAAAACTTTGACGCTATAATCATCCAATATTGTGACATCATGGCCATTATGACCGCCTTTCCCAAAACGTATCGGGACATGCGATGTTTAGAGTTTAATCATGATCCATACTTTCTAGAAACAACATGTCCACTAAAAAGGCTAACCGTTCAATTGACCTTTAAACGAAAGACACGTGTCCCACGACTCCACTCCACTTGTCAACTTTAGAAACTTAATAATTTTCTTCCTTCTTTTATAAATACCTCATATTCTCATTTTATCTCTTTTCCCTCTTTCAGCTCGTTTTAACTTCTAGTTTTCTCAACAACTTCCCTCAGTGAACATGAAAACCATCTTTTCCTTCAAATCTTTCAACCATTTTCATCATGGTAGCTTCGAAATCCAAGAACAAAAAAGATGTCAACGACTCTAAAGGTATTTTACCACTTGCAAATAAGATTTTAGGTCCGTTACTAGTGGGAAATCAGTAATATGTTCCTAAACCTCCTCTGCAAGAAGAGAAACTTCGCATTTATAAATCTTAGGTACTCATTCTCTTTTCTATCTCTAGTGAGATTCACTCACTTATGGGTCCTTCACCTCATCCTAAGGAAAATGCTAAAAAAATAGAGAGTTTTTCCCTTCTTATCATAGTACCAAGCCAATAGTTAACTTGAAGAAGCCAACAACTACTACTGATGATTGCAACACCAAATCAGCGGTTCAAACAAAAACTTCTAAGGCGAAATTTATCGATGAGATGAAGAAACACAAAACAAAACCTTCGACTGACGCAATGGAGTCTAAGGACAAATCCGTCGTCGAATTTAAACACCCTAAAAATTGTCTTTCTTGGCTTGCAAAAGTCGAAAAGACCTAGAAAGATATGCGTATCTTTGACATGATCCAGCTGTCGAAGGTAGGGCCAGCGTATTGCCAAAATATGTTAGTCGAATCCTTGTAATTCTGGAAAAGCACTACTGTAAGTGTTTGGTTGTTGGCATTTTTTTTGGTAAAACCAGTTTTGTGAATGTCATGACTGATGTCATAACATTCTGGGATACAAGATACATTCTGCAGAAAAAGAATGTCATACAGGAGCTACTCAATATGAGTGTTTAGCTGATCATTAAGCAATGATCATATTTATTGCATTCTACCAAAATCAGTGAACATGATTCTTGTTGTCATAACCAATGTTAAGACATCCTGTACTGATCTAACATTTGTGCAGATTTGTTACTCCTGAGAATTTTCAGGAATCTGGTTTATACAGTCCAGATCAGATACTCACATGGACATTAGGTTAACTCTGCTTAACCCTAATCTAGTTGTTAAAGACTTATGACCAAGTCTTGAGGTTAACTCTAATTAACCCTAGTTATTTTCGTGGAAGCCCTAACTGAAGAATAGCTTCCTATATATTCCTCATGAAGACGTTTGGTGAAGGACACTTTTTGACAGAAGATCAATAAGGGATTGTATAGTTATAACTATTATGAGCCAAGCAATTATCATTGTAATAATTGACTTGGAGTAGGATTTGATTGTAAGGGTTGTGTATCACTCAAAGCTTTGAAGCACGAGTGTTTTGTGTCACTTGATTAAAGCTTTTAAGCAAAGTCAAGTTAGGGTTGTGTATCACTAAAAGCTTTGAAGCACGAGTGTTTGTCACTTGATTAAAGATGTGAATCAAAATCAAGTGTGTGTACTGAAGAGTATCTTCATAATTTCATTAATCAATAGTTTAGTATCACTGTTGTGATTGAGGGGGAGTGAGTAGGAACTCAGGTTTAAGTTGAACTTAGATTGAAGTTGCATTGGGTAGGTCTTAAGTGAAGGAGATAAACTGGTTGGTTTATTCCTAAATTAATATCTCTTATAGTGCATTTCCTCCCTGGCTTGGTAGCCCCCAGAGTAGGTGTTGTTTCACACTGAACTGGGTAAACAATTGATTGTGTTCTTTACTGCTTTTAAAATTACTGTCTTGAAGTGTGTCAGATACAGTGTCATAACATTCACTGTGACATTGAGTATCTGTTGCCAGAATTTCAACTACCAACACTTTCCAACTTCCCAGTGGAATAATCACCCCAACATTGTTCGACAGAGCTGCCATCACCAGTCTTCGACCAATTAGAGAAGTTTCGACCCTATGAAATGAATGAGGACACCATCGACTTTAATATTGATCGAGCCAGTTTTGTTCATTACATGACTGATTATCACAATACAGAAAGTGATGAAGTATCTGACGAGGATCACATTGCTTTTCCTGGCGCTTTGGCTATCGCGCTGCATTTTCTGTTGCAAATCATTGAAGGTGGTGAAGAGATTTCTTACTTTGGCAAACTAATTGCATGGAGGTCGTGACATCTGTTTAAGTTAGATGATATTGGGTTCTCTCTATGAGACTTTGGGAGTTATTGTTGATTCCCTAAAGAATTATGAACTAAGGACCAATTTTTTAATGGTTGGCCCTTACTGGTTGATTTGGTTATGGCTGAATGCAACCTTTGAATCTTCATTTCAATTCGAATAGATTTACTAACTCTTATTGATGACGGGCATATTTTGAAAGAAAACTTCACTCCATTTATGTCTCCTTTCGCCAACCAAACTCATGGTCCCGAGTGGTTTTCTAGGGAATTCCCTGCTCCCCAGGCTTATTAAGAAGTAGAAACCCTTGAAATTTGGGGCGCCTTCCTCATTCCCAAATTGATTACAACTAAGCTTGAGGTTTCTAAATACCAATTAAAACTCCTTAGTTATCAACCCAACCTTGTTTCTCGACAGTTTGGGCTCAACCAACTACTGCCTAAATCCTTCTACAATCGAAAGAATGGCCTTTGTCTTCATAACATGAACTTTTATAAGAACGGGTATATTAAGCGCTTGGGTCTACATGCTGTTGAAACTGTCAAACTTACCCCATTTTCATTCCGACCATATTTTTATTGTACTAAAAATTTTGATGATTGGTGGAGGACATATTATGCTAAATAATTCTTCGACACCCCTACCTTGACGCAACTTTTAACATCTTCTTTTTCTTCCATACATGAGAGGTTCAAGAAAGGTAAAGCGACACACATCAAAGAAATTCAAGCATTCCAAAAATACTTCGAAACTGTATACAAATTGTTGTACCCCAAAATTTGCCCTCTCATTTATCAAATATTTCCTCACAAGATTTCCTTTGGTTTAAGACTGCACAAGGATTAATCAGCTCAAGACACCCCCCTTAAGCACTGATGACTAAAATTAGGGTTTGAGATTGCACAAGGATAATTTAAATTTAAATGCCTAATATTACTTCCATGTATCATTATTGACCCCCAAGATTACTCATGTCAAGTTTCAAGTTTTGGATCACATTTTTGCCCAGTCAATTGACCGTTGACCTAAAAATCAGTTGTATTGGGGAAAAAGTCAACTATGGCCAATTTACAGTCAAACTTCATAATTTTTGACCTATATCAACATTATAAACTCATATGTATCATTTGATCAAGTTTGGACCATAATTCCTCAAGAAATTTGATCAAATCATCAAAAGGGCAAAATGGTCAAAATTAGGGTGTTGACTGAGAAAGGGCAATTTATGATTTTTGACCTAGCAAATGGTTGATTGGTTAGAAACATGATCTCAATAATTCAATTGCATCATTTTGACATAATGGC